TGAAAATGGTGGAACTAGTCAGTATGGATGTGTTATATTTCTCAGCTTATGGTGACTTTTCCTTCAATGTTAATGTGGGGTCCCACTCTGGTACAAACACAGTACTTTACTTGTGTGGAAGACTGAGTTGGAAAACTGGAAAGAAAGCGTTGTCAATGTTGTTTTTTAAATAGACTGACTTAAAGGTAGGGTAGGTAAGTTTGAGAAACCGGCTCGAGATCGCTAGAATTTGAAAATACACAACCGGAGAAAATCGGCCACTTCCTTACAGAGCCCCTCCTCCAACACACACGAACGCGCACATGACCAATGAGGGCACGAGATAAGTTTGTGCACAGATGGAAGGCTGACAGGCAGGTAGGCCATCCAGTTACTTTAGCCGGGCCGGCTCAGATGATTGGTCGTGCTTTTTACAGTACTACGGCTATGGATTTTTTGTCAAAGCACTTAAGTTATTCATTGCTATCGGGATGTTAAGAGCATTCCATGGAATATAACAAAAAGTGTATCTCGAGCCGGTTTCTCAAACTTACCTACCCTACCTTTAAAGCGCACTGAGGTTTTTAATCCAAAAGGTGTGAGGCTAAAGTAAGGTGAGTCCATTTATTTTTATAACATAAACTGAACATATCCATATCTATGTTTAAACTGCCGGAGGGAAGGAAAATCTAATTTGACCTTCACGAAACACTGCCATAATGTTGGCAGACAAACAAGATGAGATAGTGGTGGATATGTTTGAGAATGTATGTAAAACAGCCGCCCAGGGATCAGATAGAAATGATGATGATGCATGAACAGATTCACAGAGAATGAGTCCTGATCCCAGGGGGCGTGTTGTGTAAGAGATTCAGAAAGAGTGGAGGAAGAGTAGTGGCGTTTGATTTGCCCACACACACACGCACACACTCATTTCAGCATTGATTGTTTTTGCACCTCTCACTAGATAATGTGACTAGGCACCAGCCTCATAACTTCAACAGACATCTAACTTTTCTTTGTATGTGTGATACTTGCAGGGATTTTAAATAATCTTATCTAGTTTCCCAATCATTTTCAGTATTTGTTTTACATATTCATTTTTTCCATGCAAACAGGTGGCTCGGCTTGACTCTGGGCTCTCACGTTATTCATAACACACTGCTTTGTTTTTCATAAGCGGAGCACACATTCCTACCATCCAATATGTTTTCAATCAGGCTCCCCGAGGTGAGTGCGGTCCACACAGTATTGCCTCGACAGACAGGGGGTCTGAGCTGATATTCTGAAGTCTGTGAGCCCTGCTGCTGGGAAAATAAATTCTTTATTATGCTGATTATTTTGTAAATGTATAAATTTGTTGACATACTTCTACTTTGATTCAATCATTTCACAAAGGCAGCTTTACAAGAAGTATCATTGTGTATAATGTATTCTATGTATTTTAGCAGCTCCTAACTGTATTTTGTCAATGTTCTTACATTTTGTTTTACACTGTGTTGTCAGAATGACAAAGAAATACTCAATTTCATGTTATGTAATGGAAAATAAAGTATGCTTATGTTATTTAATCTATTATCCCTACTGACTGACAAATAAATGGTACATTACTAGTCAAATTCAGATTGGTGAAGCTCATATTTTGTAGTTTTGTTGAGTGTGCGATATTTTCGTATCCATGGTGATTTTTAAGACTTTGTTTGTTAGTATATCTAACAGGAACCAGATAAACGTTGATAGGACAGAAGAACTAGGTCATATAAGAGCAAAGCTGTTTTGCAGGCCCCATGTTTGTTCCTCAAGATTTAACTTAAACATTACTGTCTTAGTCAAAATGGTGCTGTTTGCTTGTGATTCGTTGACTTCCTCTGCCACTGCAGTGTTCCTGTGCTGGCTACGTGTCATCATGAGATTTACCCACTTACCACATTTCATAATTCTGCAATACTTGTTGTGACTAATTTATGCACAAATCCAAACAACAGCTTTTGTTACTCACAGCCAAAAGGTCAATGACTCACGTTAATCCTAACACTAATAAACAATGTATTCAAAAGAGGTGCTAGATCAGTTGTGTCCAACACAAAGCGGCACTGTAAGGAGGACAGGTGTCATAAGGTCACCTTGAAAGTAGAACATTCCTTTTTGACATGGCAAATTTAAGAATGCTACTGCTGAGTATAATGGAGCCTTCACTTATTTGTTCCATGTTTACCCTCTGCCTGTTGCCAGCTGTTACACAGCGTGGTAGATCTGAAAGCAGCACCTCAAGGGAGTCTTTCTTACAGATGATTGTTAGGTGCCGCTGTGTAACAGCCAAGAAATTCAAGGCGATTTCTCATATGCGCACTTTGAGCTGCTAAAACATTTCTATCATGCTGTTCTTATTCCTAACAATGATGATGTCAACATATATTCCTGTGAAAAATCAAGAATGACGACATAAGGATGAGTTCACTAAGTATAGATACCATTTTGTTATTAAAAATGGAATTATCACCACTTGATATTCCTGGAGGATTTAGATTATTCTGAAGGCAAAGCAAACACAGCATTTAATACCACTTGTGTTGCGTGCAGACCCCTGTCTAAGCCTAGGTATGTTAGGGCATTTATGACTTTACTTTGCAGAGGCCTTGGATGAGAGGTTTAAGAGCTCAACTTGGCTTTTAGTTTTTTCCTGCCCACAGGATGTTGGCATGATGCAGACATTCTGATATAAATAAACAGGAAAGCTTTTTTTTCTAATCTAATCTTGATGAAAGCTACTTTAAAAGTATATGGTGTACCCTTAGTACTCAAATACTGAAAGCACCTGAAAAACAGCGAAGCAAAGATTGTGTTTCTGTGCACTAACTTCTTTAGATGCTTAGTAAAATCTGACTGATATAAATGGGAAATGTTTCACTTGTTAGCAGCCTGTCATGGGGTGGAGGGAGCCCTCAGTGTGACACCGCAGCATCGCATGCAACATTTCTGTCTCTTATGAGTGCATAACTCAACAAACGGTACATTTCCTGGCCTTGCTGCACGGTAGTACTTCACTGCAGTGAAATGCGTATCTCCTCACATGTGCCTGCCTACAGTGCTCAGTCTCTTTGCCCAGAGGCACTGATGGCGAGCATCTCGTTTCTTACCTTTTTGACGGATTTCAGAGTGGGCACCGCGGTGAACGCTGCGGAGGGCATCTCCCCGACGTTCATGTTCACATCGCTGCTGTTCTTGCTCACAGTCATGGCTGAATATTTCTCCGCTACGTTTTCGGTCTCTTTGACATATTTCGTGGCTTGTTTCACCTCGGCCTTGCTGTCTACAACGGAGTCGGTCATTGTTGCATGCAGGAGATGTGGAGACTGAGAAATAAACGTGATTCAGTTAGCGCTAGCTTTGTCCGTCGTCTTCTTGCTCTCTCTTCGTTAAGCTTCGTGGCTTAAAATGACCGAACCGCCGCTGAAGCACTTCCACTACACTATCAGTGCAGAGCAATAATTAGCCCACTTTAAACAGAGATTAACCCGTTTCCTACCTTCTCTACAGTCTAAAAGAGCGGAATGAACACTTGTTTCTGTCCTCCAGGTCTGCTGTCATCCACAGACAGCAACATCTCGGAGGGGAGGGGGCGGTGAGGCTGTCACCTGAACCAGAAGCGTGTGGGCGGTGCGGAGCAAAATGGAGAAGTATCGACTGACGCTGGTTTCAAGAGCAGCGCTATCTTGGGTTAATTGGACTGCATTTATTTGTTTCTACTTGTGAGTCGGTGCAAGTGTAAACTAGATGTTCTGTTTCAATAGCTGATATTTTTAAATGACCCTGGCTTTGACAGTGGAGGCTGAGTACAAGTCCCGCCTCCTTCGCTGTGATTGGCTTGCTGTGATACAACGTCTATAATCTACAGCGTCTGATTGGCAGAGCCTGCTCGGGACAGTGGTAAACCTGGGATGTAACAGACCAAAGGATTTCGTCCCATATCGGGAGACACATTTATTTAATTAATTATGTTCAATTGTTATGCCACTTTTAACAGAAATACAAATATTTACAATTTGAATAGTGGTAATAATTTGGTTAAAATCATTGATTTCCTGCAGAAGTGGAGCTCCAGAGTATGTGACTTGCATTGTAAATCGAAAGGGGACTAACTTTGTGAAAAACAGGAGCCATGTCCAAGCTATTTGTACTTTTGAGTTTCGAATACCTAGATTCATAAAAATGCAGTAAGATAAAAAGATCTGGAAAAGAATCATATGTTTTGCCATTTATGTAATAACTTTTTTGGGAAAAAATATCAGTTTGTTTGAATGTGAACAAACAACCGTGGTTACATTACATGCGGTACATTACATGTCACTTGTTAGACGCTTTTATGCAAAGCGACTTACATACATTCAATACTGTGGGCAATCCCCACATGAACAATTTAGGGTGAATGCGGAATGTTGACTGCAGCGGGATTCGAACCAGTGCCCCCGTGATCCCAAGATCAGCGCACTAGCTACTGAGCCACAACCTCCCTAGATTGAGAGTAGAAAACATTTCTGGTTGACAACATTTATGCAGACAGATAAACCAAGTCTATTTTGTAAACAAGATGCTTGTCAAATAATGTTCATTCTCTCTTCAAATTACTTGATAAGATATTTGTTATTCTGGTTACCTTTGTACTACTGTTTTTATTCTATTTTTCTACCATTTGGTGTAGTCTAAATAAATCAGAATATCAATTAAATATTCATCAGTGCTGTACTTAAAACTAGTTTGGAGTACTTGTACTTAACCATTTATATTTTATTTATACTTATTGTAAGTCGCTTTGGATAAAAGCGTCAGCTAAATGCAATGTACTATTTCTGGCTACTTCGTAATTCTAGCACACTCTATTTCTAAAAATGATATATATTATGTTGATTAACTACCCAAAAGCAAAATATTGAACTGCAACTTTTACGGCATGCCAATGGATAGAATTCATAGGATTTCTTAACTAGCCAAAACTGGGATTGAAGAAGTAACCACAAACAACCTTGAGTCACTTAATAACATTTAATGGACATAGGTTTCATGAATCTTTTACCCTTTTTTCCATTATAAAAAGAACAAAACATTGCAGTACTGCATTTGATGGGTAAAAAAAATCTATTATCTACAATGAAAAAAAACAACTGAGAACAATAAGGAAGTAACTACATGGATATTATGTGTAATGTAATTAAACATTTAGTCATTGTGTTTCTACACACTGTCTAACCACAAACTAATTAGTACACCAGATACACACGGAGGGGGGGAAACAAATATCTGTACAATATGTTCACATTAGTTCTCTTTTCATTTTCTGCTCAGTGGACACAGGTTGGACTTATGATGCCGAGTCCGTCCCCCACCGTAAATGGGTTGAAAAAAAGGGAAATGTCAAAATACATGGCATCACATAAAAGGTTAAAGCCATGCTTAATGAGTGTCTCTGAAAAGAAATCTGTACCATTTACAAAAAATATTTAAAAGCAATAATTATTCACTGGTAGCAAATTGGATTTTGTTAACAGGGTCCGACAAGGCTTCACAGAGGTTATTTGAAGTGTGATTAGCCCTAGTTACCCATAACTTCCATTTTCAGTAATCTGAACAAATCCTTATGAAAATGAAAACCTGTTTATAAACACTTAACCAGATAGGCGGAGAAGGAAAGGACCCTCCCTTTCAGAGAAGCAGCCACACAGTCAACTCCCTGGAAGACCAGTGTAGGAAGGGAGAGATATCAGAAGAAATCTAGTGGTGGCGCTGGCGTTTGGCATATGACAATCAGGCAGGAGAGAGTAAAAGTGAGGGAAGAAGGTGCGGCAGATCAGGTTAGCTGGGATGAAGAGTTTCAGGCAGCGCAGAGTTCACAGGTAGAAGTGTTGCGGCGGTGCTATGAGACTCGGATCATCTGAGCCACCGTCTCCTCTCCTGCTGCCTGGGCCGCTTCCTGCTGTTGCTGCAGAGGAGGATAAAGGATCAGTGAGGTCAGCAAGATAATTCATGAGGCGTTGCATGCCCTAATTCCATACAAATTATTCAAAAAAATAAATCTTTCAAGAGAAAGTTTGTCCGTTCTTAGATGAAAATGTATTATTTCTTACCTGTGCCAGAGCCAAAGCCATTTCCTCCTTGTCCTTAGGTGAAAAGAAACGTCCTCCATCGCCTCGCTTGCGCTGCATGGCGTGGCGGTGGCGAGACTCGTGAAGGTATTTTTGCTAGAAAATAAGTAGTACAAGAGCATGACAAATGTTCGGACAAATCCGTTGCAAACACATTGTGACACATATACAACAGTGCTGATCCAAAACACATTTGTGTACTTTCCACCCAGTACATGGTTAACTACCACTAGAGCAGTGCTTCTCAAACTTTTTCATACCAAGGACCACTTAACCAATACAAAAAAAACACTCGCGGACCACCTAACTCCACAAATATTCAAAAACAATAGGCCTGCTTACCACTCCAACAGTTTAAAAATTACAGCCTAATAATGACAGTTTAACCTTCTCTACATCGCCTCGTTCACACATTAAATCAATAATACCAATACAGATTATATAAACATTTTTGTTCAAATGCGATTTAAAATGCTCACAGGTTTTATACCTCTTATAAAATGTAGACTACATTTATTACGGAGTTAATGTCCGAGCCAACAGACTCACAGATCGTTGGCTACTGAGAGATATGCAAAATACACTGCATGTAGTACGACACAAACCTCCGCTGTGGATTTTCAAAACAAAATACAGTAAAACTATGGTCGCAGGCCCAAGTTTAACTCTCTGAGGTCTAAGCCATTTTTTCACATGTTAGGCTCACCTGGGCTTTTTTTGTAAAAATGCTATTAAAACATGAACCTTGGTGACCTGAATGGTCTGCCAACAAAAACAAATAAAAAAACGTTTTTGACAGCCTCTGATTCATCAACAGACTTCATGCAATGCTTCATTGGATGCATATATTAGATAATAATCTCTATCTAACTCCTAAAACATCTAAATCTACTTCCAGCATGAATAAATGTTCATAAAAGACATCCATTGTTTTGGTCCGCGGACCACACTTTGAGAAACACTGCACGAGAGGTAAGGTGTTTATTTTATTGACTGTCTTACGTGCAAGTAAGAAATTACCTTTATTAAATGAGAATGAATTAAAGAGGTGCAATGAAAATATCAATTAATTGTAACTGATCCAAATACTTTTGATTATCATTTTGGCCATGATCAAGCTGCCCTTCTTAAATGTGTTTGCATGTGTGGTGCATGATGACCACTAATTGTCCTTACCCTCCTTTCTTTGGGGATCTTGCCCTCAGCCTCGAGCTTGGCTCTAGCCTGTCTTCTCTTCAGGATGCGGTGGTACTGTTTGGCATTGACGTACAGAGGTTCCTCCTCCAGCATCTCGGCCCCTGGCAGGGGGATACGCTGCATTGTAGGAACTGCACCACCGCCAGGCACCATCTGAGAGAGGGAGAGATACACACAGGGAAACCGTGTTTAATGCCTCTGGCAGAGAAAGGAAACAAATATTTGCTGACACAAAGAAGTAGTTACTTTGCATATACAGGTGATCTCAGTCATTCTAGCTATAGACATCCATAGGGTGACACTGGGAAGACTAATGATTGGAATTGCATGAGGTCAAAATATCTTGAAAAATGTGTATGTTTTTCTGCCCTAACAAGTGTAGGAGAAGTAAGGGAGCTGTCAATCTAACATGTTCTGCAAATGCCTTCAAAGTCCTGAGAAGAGGTTTATTCAGGCAAAATATGAAAACAATGTATGTAGTTGGGGGCTTTGAATAAACATTTGTTGCATGGTTCAACAAAGTTAATTTAAGTTAGATATAATAATTTGTTTTTGAATATATTGGTCAGCTTTTTGATCAAATTCACTGATTCAGACAACAAAGTTAAGTATCACCAAATAATGAATTAATCACATCCAGATTATGATTACTCGCATACAAACTACACCCAATTTCTACAGATTCACAATGGATAGACAAAAAGATGTTATGATTAGCAAAACAATTATAGATTGAAAAATTACATTTGGTGCTCTGAAAAAAAGTGACGTCCACCAAATCACAAGTTTAGATTCAAAAATATAAAAAAACTAAATACAATGGTAAGAAGAGTCTGATACCTCTGCACAGGGTCTTACCATGACCATTCCACCTGAATTGACCATGTTACCGGGCAGGGTTACGGTCACAGTGCCTTGGCCGCTGTTAGTAGTGTTTGTGTTGGCACCGCCTGCCTGCACAATCTGGGCACCGGCCAAACTGGAAGCTGGAATTGTGATCATTCCTGCAAGAGGGGATTATCATCACGGTTCAAAATCACAACTCAGCAGTGCTCCTGTTCGTAAAGTATACACAGGCAAAGGCAGAAAAGTACGAGAAAGTTGAGTTTACCCTGCTGCAGGACAGTGCCATCTGCATTGACAGGCTGATAGACGATGGTCTGTCCGTCGGCCGTCTGTGCCACCTGTTGGCCCTGCACGCTGATCTGCTGCCCCTGAGGGACCACGAGGAAAGAGAGCACATACTCAGTAATCATATTAACGATTTGTTAAATTGATTTGCCACTAAACTGGTCAGAATGTAGTACCTGGTTCTGTCCAGCAATGGTGGCTTGCTGGGGCTGCTGGATGATGATCTGCTGGGGCTGACCCTGCTGGCCCTGCAGCTGGATGGTCTGACCGCCTTGCAGCTGGATCTGACCCGGCTGCACCAGCTGGATCTACACACGGAAAAAGTACCACACACAGATTCAGAAACATCTCAACATTGTGTCTCATTTATATTTAACTGCAGTGACCTAAAACACTCACACAAAGGAACTTAGTGTATCCAATATGTTCCTACATCTGCTTACATAAACTCAGTGTGTTTTTTCCATACATATAATTACTATCCTCTGCTTGTATAATGGTTCCCACGTTTTCCTCAACATGAAATTCAAGGAGACACAGCCATGGCTAACAGGTCAGGCGGGAGTTCAGAGAAGTTCTCAAAAGCAAAGAGACAAGTAAAAACCAGATAAGAGTAGAACTGGTGGATGGAAACTTCACAAAGCTGAGGGGGGAGATAGCAGGTCCTCCAGATACACCATATGAAGGTGGCAGATTTCAGAACCGTATCCTTTCAAGCCACCAAAGGTGCGTTTCATCACTAAGATCTGGCACCCCAATATCAGTTCTGAGTTCTGTGACAGGAGCAATTTGTCAGGACACTTTAAAAGACCAGTGGGTAGCATCTATGACCCTGAGGATGGTGCTGTGGTCTCTACAGGCTGTCCTTGCAGCAGCAGAACACGATGATCCCCAGGATGCAGTCGTAGCAAACCAGTACAAGAAGAACCCAGAAATGTATAAACAGACAGCGAGGCAGTGGTCTTTGCAGGCGCACCTGTCTCGGCTCCAGACTACAACCACCAAATAGATAAACTCTGTTGCAGAATGCAGTAGTAGCAGCCTTGTCTTCAAAATCCTGGGATGTGGAAACGGCGAGAGAGCTGCTCTATAGAAATCTAAAACGTAGCCAGGTGTGAGGATCCCCAACTCCCATTGTCATAACATCAGCTCCCCCCCAGCATCCATTCCACCATTGTCTTTTTGAATTTTAAACAATGTCAAGGAAGTCCTGCATACTGCTCTCACAGTACATCACCATTCGCTCTCCAGCAAATGGTTGGCCCTGGTCTTGCTGTATTACATTTACTGGACTGGATAGTATTCTGCAAAGAGCAATATAATGGATTTTTCCTGAGCAGTTTCTCGGATGCTTTAATTTCCTGCAGAGTTGTTTTTTTTCGATCGGTAAATGTAGGTAAGATCACACAAACATCTGCACAGAAGTTATCTGTAAATAGATGCGTGTACATTTGAAAATACAATGGGATATACTTTTTTTTTTCTTACATGGCATTGTAGAACAAATTATGCCTGGTTTACAACTATATGGAGAGATATCTTTATATGCTTTGTGATTTACGAGAAAGCCCTCTGAATGGCCTGTTTCTTTTCTCTTTACTAAAATTGTTGTTTAGGGATGGCACAACATCCTAGTCCTAGTGGGATAGGACCTGAGAGCCAGCTCAGGGCCCTGGAGGTCATAACATGTCATCTTTTTTTTTCTTTGCATGTTCTCTGCTGCCTTTTATTTTATTTGGCCAAACGATGTGGTGATGTTCAGTGTTCAGTTCAACATAACTTTGTAATCAGTGAAGAAAGACACCTGGAAGCTCGGCAAGCAACTGAAGCACTCCCAGTTATATCCGTAGGGAACCAGTCTTTTCTGTTGAGTGTGTTGGTGGAAAATCTTCTGAACAGTTTTGCACAGCACCAGCAGAAAATAGTGACTCTGGATTTCACAATTGTTTCGAGTTTGCAATGCTGTGTTTTTTGTTCATTTCAGAGCAATCACTTTCAGCCACGTATCAAGGACCTGCTCACCCTCAGTCCTGCTGATGTAGAACATTTAGGGGGGAGCTTTACCGCTCGTCACTGATCCCATCCCGCAGGACTCGCTCAAATACTTTGGCCATATATAGGGCATCTCAGTGACTTATTTTCCTCTTTTGTTTCCTTGAAAGTGAGCATCAGCAGTATAAAAAGCATGGTTATTTATTGTGACAGTGTCATGTTTCTTTGATTAAAAAAAGTGAAAAAAAGTGGGGGAAAAAACAAAACATGAAATTCAAGATCTTTTTAAGGACTATTCCATTTTAGTATCTACATTGAGGTGAGCCCCTAATCCTTGTCCCCTGTGCCTAGCTCAAGTGAATGGACCTATGCAGCAGTCAAACTAGTCAAGTAACGCAAGGCAATCATTTGATTTGCGTTTTGGGTAAATACATTGTTGGGAAAAATAGTTTTTTGGCACTTTAAATTGGGAAAAAACTCACAAGTAAGAATCATTTGTCAACAGTAACTTGTACAGGAACTGATCAATAACTGAAAGCATAGTGTTTAAATCTGCCAATTATATTATAGGAGAACACAATGTCCTTGTACAACATAATGAAATAACTAAGACTCATCTCTTACCTGCTGTAACCCCTGAGCTCCAGACACAGGGACCTGCATTATGGTTTGACCCTGTCCCCCCGACATGGCCTGCACCATTATGGGTTGCCCTGATGATGTGATGAGCTGCCCGCCGCTCACCTGGACCATCAGAGGCTGTCCCTGGACCTACAGAGAGATACAGAAAGCTGTTACAGCACCAATGCCAGTGTTTGTTACCTCAATATCACTGACGTGTGATTAACAAGACAAATGATGTAAAATCAGAAACATCAAGGATACCCCACCATGGATAAATATTTTATGATTTGCTGCTCTGCTATATACAAACATGAAACCATCCAGTTCAATAGTAAATCCAAACTCAATGTACAATTGTGAAATACCTGCCTGTAATCAGTGTTTATTTACTGTAATACTGATGCTGAACCAAATGGTAAATCAAGTTTTTTGTTCACTTGTTTTGCTTAATAAATCGAATTAATTTGAATGCATATATCCAACTTGAAGAATACAGAGGTCCAATCGGCATCAATTATAAAATATAAAATATAAAATGAGTGACCGCAAAAGACAACTGAAAGCCTTTGGCCGCAGTTGTACCACATGGAAAAATACCAGAGTTTAAGGAATTTACTGCCATTATGCCACAACAAGACAATAAGGAAAATATAGCTAGATGAGAAGTGACAGCGAGTAATGACTATGGATCCATGCTGTTCAATGCTGGTCCTGCTAAGTTCAAAACACATCCATGAGGCTTGTGTTTCAGATAGATTTCATCCTCACTGGGTAGAACAACATCTGACTTGCATATCTTGCAAGAGACAAACATAACTCAGACAAAGAGGAGTCATGAGAGCAGGAAACCTGAGGCTGACACACAACAAACTGTGCTGAGGAACATGCAGTTCAGGCAGCTTTAGAACATGCTAGGGAGGGAGGATGAACCAAACAGCACAGAGATGGGTCATGAAACACAGCCCTGGTTGTAGCATGCAAACTGGTAGGCTGTAACACGGTTGTGACTCTGACAGGGCGGCGGCGTTGACACCACTACCTGGAGTGTTTGCACCTGCTGGCCTGAGGCCGTCACCACTGGCGCCTCTGTCTGCAGCTGCACAGCCGTCACTGTGCCCTGTGTCTGCAGGCAAGGCAGGATAATACAGGACAATACAGACTCAGATAATAATAAAATAATTATGAGGAAGAGAGGCTTTGTCTGGGATCCACTGGAACGCTTTAATTGTGGGTGCCTGTTACCTGTGATCTTATAGCATACAGTGCAAGTGTTGTAGACATTTTTTTTTTTATCAAAACCACGTTTTTTCAGAGTAAATCCGGTTACCTGCTGTTGGATCTGTCCATTGGAAGTCTGCACAACTATTTGCTCCCCAGTAGAAGTGGTGGCAGTGGTGTACTGCTCCATGGCTTGTTATTTGTCAAAAACCTCTCTGAAAACCTAAGAAAAACACATACAGTATGAGCTTGAATTAAATCTATGATTCTTAATAATGTATTTTTCATTTGTACATCATATCACAACCTCATATATCACCCAGGGGAAAAAACAAGGGGTTTCCAAACGATATCTAATGTTAGTGCTGCCAACTCATTGTTTGATTAGACAACATTTAAACAGGCACGGCCCTTTATATTTCCACTAATCCTCGTATGTCAAATGTAATGTCTGACATTTAAAGGAGATTGTATTGAACCCGATGTTTGATATCAGCTGCTGGCATGGTTTAACGAGGTGTTGTGCTAGGTGTCGTGGGAGCTAAATGCTAGCGTCAGTCAGCTAGCGAACAGCGTGGTAAACGCTAAAAAGCAAATAAGGGAGGATAGTCAACAGGTAAAAAGCTACCTTTAGGTGCACGTTTAGTATGAGGTTAGCTAAAAAATAATGATCATTTGCCAGGCGACGTCTACTGATGGGAGGACGTTGGCTTTTTCAACCCGCCCTTTGTTTGAGATTCCCTTTAGCTAACGTTAGCTAAGGCTTGTCGACCACCACGAATCATGTTTCCTCACAGCAGCCGAAAACAAGCAGTTATTATCAGTCTAACCGGTCCGGGACACAGCGGTCGAAATAATACTGACATTCGATTTTTTTGCATTTAGCCGGGTTAGTAATTTGGTTGGTCCATGGCAAACCAATCCGTGCTGACAACTACGAATGCCTTCAATCGGGTTTCCCTTACCGTATCTTCACTGTCCGGTTTCCCTCTGATTGGCTCCAGCCTCCAGTACAGCTCGCTAAAGCCCAATCAACAAAGTGAGCGGACAAAATGGCGCAAATGAAACAACTGAGCCTGGGAGGAGGTGCGCAGCTGCGTGACACACGAGTACCCGGGGACAGCGTGCAGGGCCCGGGGCGCCCGGCGGGGGGCGCCACTGGGCTACCAGGGCTGGGTTTTTACAGCTCCCTTGGGCTGCTATGTTGTCACAAAGTAAAAATAGATAGAAAGTTTATAAATAAAATAAAATGACATAAAGAAATAACTACGGTAAGGCGTCTTCACATTCCATCAATTTCACATACTTCAACTGTTTATCATTAAGGAGAGGCTCACTAGTTTCTTTAATAGCAGACTCTTTAAGGCAGAAATAACAGGGATCAACCTCAAATCCAAACATTCTTTTCAGCGTTTCTGAATGTGTTGATAGTTTTCCTATGAAATATGAAAAATTACAATAACAATTACTATATTCATCCCAGCTAACCTTTAAAGAAATGTGCAAATGCTTTATAGTGACAATTGATAAAGAATCTTTGAAATATAGCATATTTAAAATACAAAAAATCATGTTTTATGATAACCAATGATATTAACCCATGAAAAGCAAATAATATATATTTTAGAACAAATAGTACTCCTGTAATTTGTTCCAATGTTATTTGACCAACTGTTAATGCTTTACATGTAAAATACATTTTTAATTTGTATTGAAAACATTCATAATGTTGTGGTTTACTGTAAGGTGCAATATTTTCAATGTTTCTTTTTAAAGTAATCCAAAAGTACTGATATGCAATTACACTTTTTTTTTGTACATTACCTTGCACATTTAGTACATTTCCATGTATCTTGTACTCGGTACCTGGCTGGCCTACTTTCCTAAGTAACACTTACCAACACTGCACCTCCACTCCGGCAGGAGGCAGAACGGCGCCGCCTTCCTGTAGTTACAGTCGTATTTGCGGAAGTCCATGCAAGAGTTTCATGCTGGGATGGTGGCATGACAGTGGAGGAGGTATTCTTGTTGAGTTAACCTTAGTTAACAGAACAAGCAAGTTATCTAATTGTTATAAACATGTGGACAGTTTGACTTCTGGACGTGCGTTATTTGACATTGTCTGAAAAAGGAGCACACAGCGACTGTGAGCATGGCCAGACCTCTGCAGGTCCTCTCCCTCCTCTACAGGCTCGGTGCTCGCTCAGTGATGCCCTCTGTTTCTATTACCAGCTGTCGATTTGCGAGCAAAGCATTGAACAAGGCACAGAGTCATGTGCGCAGAGACAAGGTTCCCAACAGAGCCCAGAGAGACAGCGAGGAGATGTCTGACGAGGAGCTGGAGGATGTGGAGGACAAACTCCAGGTCTTGTTTAAGTAAGAGTCAACATTATTCCACCATGAAATAAACAACATGCTGTGTGGGTTGTCTTTTTATATTGCCTATAACTTTGTATTCCTGCATTTTACTTGCATCAGTATATATCTTCGCACTTTTTTTGTACATATTTGTATGTCCTAGAGTAAGTATATTGTATTGTTGGAGGAGCCTGGGATTATAATGGCCAAAAAATATCTAAAATATAACCATGTCTCCCATGTGTTTCAGTGAGCAGAGACAAAAGCAGAAGACTGTGAAATATCACATACTGAGAAGGCAGATGACTTCACCAGGAGCTCCACAGAGGAAGCTCACCTGGGATGCTATCGCGCAGATCAAGTGAGGGTCTTTCAATACTAATGAACAACTCCCAGTTCATGTAATGGACGCCTGGATATAAGTAAAACTCCTATTTAATTAATGGAACCTGGCAAAAGCCTATAGATATAGCCTACTCCAAATTCTTTTTTTAGCAGGTATGTTTTAAAAGGGTCATGTAATAACTTTAAAAAAAGAAGAAGTTGTTACATGATTTATTTGCTCAAGAAAACTGCCATGATCTTAGAGGTCTTGGTGAGTTGGTATCCAAAAACTCCTTTGTAATCTCAGTTTAACAAATCTCACTAGATGAGTTTCTCTGTCTTCACAGTATTTGTATAAATGATGCTTAAGGTGATACTTTATTTTTCAGATATCTGAAGCAGGAGCAACCAGAGGAGTGGACAGTTAAGCGTCTGGCTGAGGGTTACTCTGTCAGCCCTGATGTCATCCGGAGAGTCCTCCGCAGCAAGTTTCTCCACACTCCTGAAAGAAAGTTCAAACAGGACACCAGAGCATTGTCCGGACTCGGTCAGCAGGTGCTGCCTTCAGGAGCCGCGGCAGGGAAGGACAGGCTGAAACTGTCTGGAAACCGCACAACAGCGCTACTCCAACCTGGAAATGTTGAATCTGCCTTGGTGCCTGTGGCTGACAAGACTGTGATGCTTCGTGGTGAAAGCTCAGGATTAGTGACTAAGAGTCCTGCCCCCTTTTCTCTTGTGCCTGCCAAGTTCAGAGCTGATGTTAGTGAAGACATCCCTGTGACAACATCAATAGAAGAGGACAGCATTTACAACACAAATCCAACAGAGGAAGATGAAGAGGACGAGGAAAGCTGGGATGGACGGCTGTTCACAGAAGAAGAACTTGAAGAGATTATGGAAACGGTAAAGGCTTGCCCTGTGGTGCAAGATGGAAATGAGTTCTTTGATGCAGAGGGAAACTTTCTGTATCGAATCTGATGGCTTCCTGCGTTGGACTTTCCGCTGACCATGTGTTGATGATCAGGTTGTCCTTTTCACATACAGTAATAGATAACTCAGTGACTTGGTAAACGATATTATAACATTGCTATTAAATAAAAATCATGTGACAAAAATAGAGGAACATATGAATTTATTGGCAAACCCAAAGAAAAAAACCTCAAATATACATAAGAGAGACACAAAGATGTAACCTTGTATAGTTACAGAATCATCACAATTAATTATTAATTTATACAGCAGTTTTAAATCGTAAGAAATGCGTTACCTTTTTATGAATGCAATAAACCCATAAAAAAACCTTGCCAAGTGTCTCCCAGTTTGTAGCAGCTACATAATAACCTTGTATGGAATTTAATCTAGTCAAAGTTTCACTCAGAATTATGTATTGTGCCAAGACATGGAGAAAATAACCTATTTATTTTAGGCTATTTTCTTTGCAAATCTCTTTTGATTTAAATATCGAAATGTAACATACCGTTCAGAGGGAGCTGGTATGAAACACACGTCTGTCACTGCTAAAGGATTAATCTTAGACAACAAGAGCTACTTCGGGGTGTCACTGACAAACTTGATATGACTGGTTACACATAAGTTGATACAGATCATTTTCAGTAAATAGATGCTGGCCACACATTAGGAGGGCCTCGCATCTGACACCAGGCACTTGTATAACCACATCCAATTTACTGCACTCTGAACCTGCAAGTCACAAATAAATAAAACCTGCATGAAAGCATTGTATTTCAAATAAGAACAAATGTTAAAAAGTAGGAAAAAAAGAGAATCCCTTTAAGACTTGAAGAGACAGTAGTATGAAGATCATTTAAAAAAACAGCAGTTTTCTGTGAAATGAAACTTTCGATAATAATTCAGTGTATTTGCTCAAACTCGGATGCAAATGCAAATTAAAAAACACCACGTCCGTTAACTCTAATAGGCTACATTGTTAAATATGCTATACAACATTTCTTATTGCTTCTATGCCAAATAATATCAATGTATTCAATCATCGGAATCTGATGTAAAAAATAACTGTAGATATTTACTATCAAACTAGAATTATTTCGTACTCTGGACTTCTTTGATTCACAATTTGTAACAGTTCAAAAGTGTGTTAGTACAAAAACTGCTCAAATTACTATAAACATGATGTGCATGACTACAGTGATTATTACAGACTGATCGTTAATCATTAGGTCACATTTAGGAAAAATGTCAAATTACAAACTCCTAGCATACAAACGACTTTGTGCTTTGGGCAGTTAGAACTGCAGACATACACAAATCCTGTCTTGAAACAGACACACCTTACCCCCCTATACAGTTATGCGTAATGTGTTTCACACAATGACCATTCATCAAAAGGAACAGCTGGATAAATTAGAGATATTGTGCCAATGGGATTATTTCACATGCACGGACAATAAACTGAATCTAAACATTGTTATTGCTATCAAACCTAATGCACAAATGTAAAGCAATTTCCACTCGGGTCTTATTACTTCATCCGTGGTTCTAAATGCCATGGAGTAAAAGTACACTGGCTTTTATTCCAAATATACACTACAACAGGGGATTTCACAAATCTGTGCCAACAGAGGAGAAGGCTCAAAAACCTTACATTTACATACTCCTTGCTGTCAAATACCTTATTTAAAGCAGGGATTAAATTGTTTTGGAGAGTTATTAACCAGCTACAAATAGCAATCGTTATAACACCTAGCAAATTGTCAGAAACAGCAAAGAAGAACAGGTTTATGTACAAGTGCATGAGAAAAAAGTTCTCGGATCTTCAACCAAAATGAGAAGTATTTCCCGGAGCGCTCCCAGGTGATGGGAGAAGCAGGACCCATAATGCAGTGGTGGATTTATACAAGTAGCTTCAC